ATGGTCCTGCTTGACCTCAGTGCAGCTTTTGACACTGTAGACCACAACGTTCTACTAAACAGGTTAAATGCCCAGGCTGGGATTTCAGGTTCTGCTCTAGACTGGCTCTCTATCTATCTCACAAACAGAACATTCACAGTGAAGTCAGAAGCCTTCTCTTCAGACACTGCCTCTCTAACATGCGGGGTCCCACAAGGTTCAGTTCTAGGGCCTCTACTGTTCGCATTCTATATTCTTCCTCTAGCTGCCATCATTCAATCTTTCCCAGACATCTCCTACCACGTCTACGCTGACGATATACAGCTCTATATGTCCTTCATGCCACACCAGTTGGACAGGCTGGCCACCCTTGTACTCTGCCTGACCCAGATCAGTAACTGGCTGTCCAGCAACTTTCTTGTTCTCAACGCCAACAAGACAGAGACCCTGATCTCTGCACCCCCAGAACTTCAACCAAAAATTGAGCAGGAAATTGCCTCCTTTTGCCCATCAGCCAAGGCCAATATTAGAAACCTGGGAGTTATTTTTGATCCGCTTTAAAGTTTAGACTCACACGTCAAAACCATCTCCCGCTCTTGTTTCTTCCAACTGAGAAACATTTCAAGAGTCTGTAAACTGGTTTCTACTGCAGATCTGGAAAAAATCATCCATGCCTTTGTGTCATCACGCTTAGACTATTGTAAATCTCTTTTTACTGGTCTCAGCAAAACCTCCCTCGCATGCCTTCAAGCCATCCAAAATGCAGCAGCCAGACTCCTAACCAAATCCAGCAGACGAGCTCACATCACCCCAGTTTTACAGTCCCTCCACTGGCTCCCGGTAGAATTTAGAATACAGTTTAAAGTTTTAGTCTTGACCTATAGAGCGCTAAACAACCTGGCTCCAAGCTATTTATCTGAGCTTTTATCCCCACACACCACTTCACGGAACCTCCGATCCACATCTGAAAACCTCCTGGCTGTTCCTCGAACCAGACTAAAAACCAAAGGGGACAGGGCCTTTCAGTCTATTGCCCCCAGACTTTGGAACAATCTGCCTTCAAATCTCCGTCTCTTGAAATCTGTAGAAGTCTTCAAAAAACCTCTTAAAACTCACATTTTCATCCAGGCTTTCCCCCGCTAAATATTCTAAAAGATGGCTTTGTTCTTGTTCACACCTTGACTTTGTTTTTACTCCTGATTTTGGTTACTATTGTTATCACTGCTATTGTTTTTATGATGTTTTTACTGGTTTGAGGTATTTGCCCTGATTGTACTCATGTTGTACAGCGCTTTGTGATTTATTTCTGTGAAAGGCGCTATATAAATAAACTTTACGTACTTACTTAAAGCTGGTGTGACAACCACGATTCCAAGCGATGTTTTGACCACAACTTAAACAAATACAATCCCTGACGGTGTAACCACAGTTCCAAATAATGTTTTAACTACTAGCGCTACAACTACTGTAATCCCTGATGTTTTGACAACCACAATCCCGGTGAAAGATTGGTGGTTCAACTGGAGCTCTCCCTCTCTCTTACAGCTGGTGACTCCACCGGTTTTGAAGATCTAAAACAACGCCAAATAGCAAGTTGAGAAGCGTAACCACTAAGCCACCTGTTAGTACTACAACTCCCACAGGAAGTGTAGCCATGAAATCTGGTTCTCCTACAGCAACCTCTGGTAGTGACCATGTTTGTAATCTTACTCGGGGAGGACAAAATGAACTAGAAGTAACCAATCGCAAAGCTGTACCTAAGCCATCATTTGGGCCAATTAGACCTAGGTCCGGAAGAAACATAGGACCTATCTCCCCTAGGGCGAGTAGACCACTACCTATAAAGGATAAGCTTTGGGATGTTGCCATGCAAAATAGTTGGTATAAATGGGCTTTGTATACAACAAGAGAGATGACTCCTAATGACTGCATAATGTGCGCTCAAGCACCTGGAATGCTACCTGAGGTAGTTCCAGAAAAATATACTTCTAGTGAATGTGCCATCGTGCAACGGTGCACGTGTAAGACTAAAGAGGAAATAGAGATCAATAAAAAGATTCCACCTCTTCTTAAGTTGCCATTGTGTGGACTTCAATGCAGATTGCTCCATGGCACGTGATAAGTACAAATATGTAAAAAAGAAATATGCAGAATATAACATCCTAGATGAATGTGCCAAATTTGCAATCCAAACAGACCAGAATGGTCCTCCAACAGACTACAAAATTGACTATAGTGCTGATTATAAATGTTTTGCAAGTGGAGGTTTCGCTGACGATGAAGGAGTGGACGTAGGTAATACATCTGTCAACTATAAAGTCACTTGGGTATTATCCTGGTTCCCGCATGCAAATATGACACCACTTCTTATTGACACCCCTGTTGGGTATGAAAACCCTGTAACTCTTAGTCAGGGTTGTGATGACATATCAATGACAATTCCTGCTCTTAGTCTACTAGGTGAGCAAGACATTCCAGTGGCCGACAGCTACTGGATGTGTGGTGGTGATGTTCTAATGAATGTTTAGCCAAGTTTTTGGGTTGGGTTGTGAACACTAGTGCGTATGAAAGTTCCAGTGACTATTTTGCATGAAGGTGTGAGTGAATTACTCCAGTTGGAGACTACCAATAGACGCAGGACAAAGAGGTATGATGTGTTTGATCATAAGGTACATTTAAATGCCATAGGGGTTGCCGACAGGAATTCCCGTTGAATTTCAAGCAAGAGATGAGGTAATAGCTGGTGTAGTGACAATTCTTCCTTGGATAACAATAAATAAGAATGTGAAATGGATCAACTATTTCTATTTTAATCAGCAAAGAGTCTTCAATTACCCCCGTGTGGTTCTGGGATTCTTGCTCACCGTTCTCATGATCATTTTGACCCCACGGGATGAGATCTTTCGTGGAGCCCCAGATCGAGGGAGATTATCAGTGGTCTTGTATGTCTTCCATTTTCTGATAATTGCTCCCACAGTTGATTTTTTCACACCAAGCTGCTTGCCTATTGTAGATTCACTCTTCCCAGTCTGGTGCAGGTCTACAATTCTTTTCCTGGTGTCCTTCGAAAGCTCTTTGGTCTTGGCCATAGTGGAGTTTGGAGTCTTGACTGTTTGAGGCTGTGGACAGGTGTCTTTTATACAGATAATGAGTTCAAACAGGTGCCATTCATACAGGTAACGAGTGGAGGACAGAAAAGCTTCTTAAAGAAGATGTTACAGGTCTGTGAGAGCCAGAGATTTTCCTTGTTTGAAGTGGCCAAATACTTATTTTCCACCCTGATTTACAAATAAATTCTTTAAAAATCCTGCCATGTGAATTCATGGATTTTTTTTCACATTCTGTCTCTCACAGTTGAAGTGTACCTATGATGTAAATTACTGACCTCTGTCATCATTTTAAGTGGGAGAACTTGCACAATCGGTGGCTGACTAAATACTTTTTTGCCCCACTGTAAAAGCTAATAATTCATGATGAAGCCAGCAGGTTGCCCTTGAGGCTAACAACGAACACTAATCAACCAATCCTATAGACGGCAGTGAGGCAGCATAATAAATCATAGAAGGAGGTGAACGTGGATTGAACAGTAGAGTGGGGGACGGGTGCAGGGAGGGTGCTAGTTTAGAAGATGCTCTCTGAAGAGCTGATCCTTCAGGTTTCTTGGAAATCGACAAGGAAGCCCCTGTTCTTGTAATGCTTGGTAGGTCATTCCACATCTGTGGAACGACACATGAAAAGTCTGGATTGTCTTGAGCATGGTGTAGGCACTGCTAGTTTGATGACCAGAGCGGCCGAGCCGTGACGTAAGCCTCCACAAGAGGATCTAGGTAGATGGGAGCTGTACCATCCAAGACTTTGTATGCTAGTGCTAGCGATTTGACTTTGATACGTGCAGCTAGCGGTAATTAATGAAACTCGTAAAAGTTTACTTTAGAGTAGTAAACAATAATATAACTTGATTAGTTTGCTGACCATTTCAGCTTGTCTGTCACCTTCATCAGAGCATCCACAGACATTACTGTTGCTCTGCTGCTGTTTGTGAGCAGTAGAGGCCGATGATGCCCCCTACTGAATGCAAATTTCTTCTTAAGAACCACATCCTGTGTGTGATCTAACATGTCATCCTTCACCTCTGTCCATGGTTAGCATCATTTGTCTCCTTATTTCAACCATCATTTGTATTTTTTGGTTCTGCTGTTATGAACCTCGATTATTCCCAGCCCATTATATGGTTTTCTCATGCACAGTGATCTGCTATGGCCGATTTCCTGATTCTCTTCTCGTCTTCTTGTTTGTGGCTTTTGTGTGTTTTGCAAGTTTCTATTTCCCATTTTTTGGGTTACAGTTTACCTGTTTCTCCTATGTATTCCTTATTGCAAAATTTGCATGGGATCTTGTATTATACAGCATTTTTGTTCTAATTGAATTTTGTCTTTTTGAGTGCAACACTTAAGGGAACAGAAATTAACCCTTAATTAGCTCATTAATCAGCAACAAACCATTTACTTTCAGTTAACAAACCATGATTAATGGCTTATTTAGATCAAACTTTTTATTTATGGCCTGTTAATATTAGAATTACAGCATTGGTAATAAGCTGTTAATAGGTGCTTAATAATGACTAGTTCAGACTTAGTATTCCACTAATATGCATATTAATTGGCAGCTAATTAATGTTTAATTTCTGTTCCCTAAAGTGTTTCTATTGTGTTTTTCACACTGCTCTTTGTACTTCTTGTTTTCTGGTATCTTACCCACACTTTAAATTTATAATTTTGTGGATTTATTTCTATGATTTTTCATGGTTAATTATGGTCATTATTTTACACACAATGTTTTCATTTAATACAAGTCATGCATTTTCTCTAGTTGGCATGTATTCATACAGTGAATCAGACTTTTATCACGGCTGTACACTAAGATATGACTGACATGATCCCAAAACTGAAGTTGCTGAAAGAGACATAAATTCCTAATGAAAGCATGTGTGTTTGTCAAGAGTACTTGAGCCTGGGGAGTACCTGTAATGGGGCTATTGTGTGACGGTCCTGGGATCCAGCTGAGAATTACATTGCTGCCCTTAACATCCGACAGAGTCAGGGAATGAGGAGAGTCTGGTGGACCTACGGACACAAGAAAAACTGTTGGAACTCAATAAAAACACCAGACACATCCTAATCTTGTAAAAGAATAAACCCATTGTCTTCACATCTTTAATTTCATACAATAAAATACAATCAAATACCTGTAATGCAGAACCAGAACCAAGTAAGTGCAAATTAATGATTATTTTCAGATTAAGAATTAAATTCCAAACTCATGGACTCAACAAAATTCCATTGTGGTAAAAAGTTGGAGGTTCTAAGTTTATTTATTGATTGATTTGACAATTATCATGTTAATTGTGGTTAATTAATTTGTCATAATTACTTTGTATGGTTTTAATAATGTTTATTAAATTGTATTCTATAACTTGACTGTTGCTGCATGCAGGTTTTTGTTGTAGAAGGAAAGCCAAGTGAGATAATAATAATAATAATAATGCATTTTATTTATAAGCGCCTTTCAAAAAACACAAGGACACTGCAGCAGGCATGGGGAAACCTGGTCCTCGAGGGCTGGTATCCTGCATGTCTTATTATGATTAAATGGTTGATTCACCAGCTCATCAGGCTCTGCAGAAGCCTGTTAATCACCTGCTGATTGAAATCAGATGTACTGAAGCAGGGTTGAAACTAAAATATGCTGGATACCGGCCCTCGATGGACCAGGGTTCCCACCCCTGCTTTAAAGCAATAAACAAACAACAAAGAAACTAAGTGAAACAACAGCAAAAAATACATCAAAAACAAAAACTAGATTTAAAAAATAGTTGGAACAGGTGGATTTTGAGTCTAGCTTTAAAGGTGGAAAACAAGTCAGAGTTATGGATGGCTTGGAGGTAGGGACGGGTACCTTTGACATTTGAATTGATACGGTACCAATACCCAGTACCTACAAATCAATATTGGTACTTAATGGTACCAATTTTTGATACTTTTGACTGTTTAATAATTATTTAAATCGCTTTTTAAATTAAATATATATTATTTTCCCAATATATAACCATATTTGATAAATACCATGATAAATAGCATACAAACTGTTTGTATTTTATCATCATAGTGTCACGAGTTGGTTCAGGAGGAAGTTAGGACCCACGATGCAGAGAATCAGATGGACGAGGCAGGGGTGGAAGATGAAATAAAATCCTTTATATAGGGATAATCCAAAAAGGCAGGAAGCCAAAAACCAAAAATCCAAAATGGCTAAATCAGAGATCCAAAAACACTAGAAGCTAGAGACACTAGAAGCACTGGAAACACTGGAGAGCACACGAGACGAGTATGACAGAAAAACAATGGACCGACAAAAACACTGATACACAGACAGGGTTTTATACACTGGGGAGGATGAGAGGGAGATGAACTGCAGGTGTGTGGGGAGAGAGAGCAGGTGAACTCAGTTACTAATCAGGGAGGAAACTAACATGATCTAAGAATAAAACCTAAAGACAAGAAGAGCAGGAAACATAACTAATAATCTGGGGGGGGGCGGGGGGGGACCACAAACACCGGTGCGGGGAAAAATGGGGAACACCAGGAGACACAAGAGGAAGATGCAGACAAGGACACATGAGGGTGCTAGGAGACACAAAAGGAAGACCTAGAGAGGGATGGAGAACACAAGGAGACACATGAGGGGAGATGCAGACTCAGACTATGACATAGTGTACAAAATTCTTCAACATGAAAATCTTTAACAAAAACTGTTTCTAAATGATGCAAAAACAAACCCAGCTCCATGTAATACTAATCCTCTTCTATGTCCTCTGGAATAACTCTGATGAGGAGACCATGTATTATAAACTACAGATGAAACTAAAACAAACTTCGATACCATACAACAGTTTGTAATTTAATATTGTGGTGTTTCACAAACTAAACCAGCTCCATGTACTCCTGTTCCTCTCCTTTCTCCTCTGGACAAACTGTGTGATGGTGGGTCTTTGTAGTTTTATAAACTGCTAATTACACTGAAGAAAACATCTCTGCTGTGAACTAAATTTACTGTGTATCTTCATTCCTTTGTCGTTCTTTTTCAAACTGTTTATTTTTCCTAATTGAAAGTTGGAATTTCCGAGGAGAAAGTGAACGCACCATTAGCTATGTAAACATAAACTAAACTATCAAGCTAACGTTATCTTAAACAGTTTATTTAGCTGCTGGACCAGATTAAGATGCCTCAAACTCGGATTGTTGTCGCTGGTTTCATCATCACCCAACAGCCCATCACATTTAGTGAAGTGAAGCAAAACTTTAGAGTGCGTTTGCTTTTTTCTAGTCATAATTTCTGTGTTCCGAGGAGAAAGCGAACGCACCAAGCTGAATGGAAGCCAACATATAAAGCTAACATTTTATTTACCTACTGGAGCAGATTAAGAGGATGACACCTCACTTAGATCGTTGTTGCTGGTTTCTTCATCACTCAGTTACCCATCAAATTTGGTGAAGTGGACCCAAACTTCAGAACGCTTCCTCTCTGCCATGCTGCTTTGTTTACAGCTCGCCCACAGTGACTGACGGCATGCGGCACATGTACCAAAAAAAGGCACCCTTTCATATGACGTAAATCGGTACTAAGTCGCTATTATGGAATTCGGTCGGTGCCTTAAAAAGTACCAAATTCGGTACCCATCTCTAGTTGAGGAAGATAATTCCAGAGACAGAGGGCAGAGCAGCTGAAAGCTCTGCTCCCCATTGTGCTGAGACAGAAAAATGGAACAGACTAAAGTCGTCAATTGCACTTTTTAAACGAGGCAGGCCTGGGAACGAGTCGCTGTACCTTGAGATTAATAGTCACGGCTCTAAAGCTGATCTTCAATTGTGTGTCACACCTCACGTGATCGGGATGCAGAAAACTCATGAATTATCCATCCAACCATCATTCCATTTTCAGCTGCTTACCCGGTGTCAGGACGCAGGGGCGCCAGCCTAAGCAGGGAGGACCAGAATCTTAAGGCATGGCCAGCTATGAGACGTAGTCTCTCCAGCATGTCATGGGTCTTTCTTTAGGTTTTCTCCCAGTTCTGTCAACCTAACTAGATGCCCGAGCCACCTCAACTTGTTCCTCTTCATGTGAAGGAGCAGCGGAACTACCCTGAGCCCCACCCAGATGACTGAGCTTCTCAATCTATCTCTAAGGGAGAGCCCAGCCACCATGCGGAGAACACTCACTTCATCCGCTTGTATCCACAATTTCATTTTTTCAGTTACTACCCAAAGCACGTGACCATAGGTGTAGGCTGACCGGTAAAACGAGAGCTTTTCCTTCTGGCTCAGCTCTCTCTTCACCATGACAGACTGGTACAACGTCTGCAACACTGCAGATGCAGCACTAATCCACCAATCCATCCCACACTCCATCTTTCCCTCGCCTGTGAACAAGATACTAGATACGAGATACTTAAACACCTCTACTTGGGCCAGGACCTCATCCTTGACCTGAAGAAGGCATTCTACCCTTTTCGGCCTCAAGACATTGGTCTCAGATTTAGAAGAGCTGATTCTCATCCCAGCTGCTTCATGCTCGGCTGCGATCTGCTCCAGTTCACGTTCTGATGATGACCGCATTCCGCTTCACCTGCTGGTACCCATCAGCTGCCTCTGGAGTCCCACAGGCCAAAATACCCAATAGGACTCTTTCTTCAGCTTAACAGCATCCCTAACCAGCAGGTTCGGGAATTGCCTCCACGACAGGTACCAACAACCCTGCAGCCGCAGTTTCGGTCAGCCGCCTTGACAGTGGACGTACATAACATGGTCCACTCAGACTTAATGCCCCCTGCCTCCCCTGGAACATTTTTGAAGTTCTGTCAGTGGTGGGAATTGAAACCTCTTCTGACCGGACACTCTGCCAGATGGTCTGCCAGCTTCTGCATTTCACACTTAGACAACAAATTGTGAAAGAGTGGAAAAAGCTAGAAACATCCTGATTCTTCCTCATGAAAGAAAACTAGAGAATATGGTCATAGAGCACAATACTCTGTGACTCTTTAAAAAAAAACTGTAAAAACACTCCAAAATGCTGGCAGTCAGGGTCTTTCTATCAGAAAATGGGTGGCAGTTAACAAGAGAGCAGTTTCTGTTCTGAGACCGGGGCAAAGACCAGACTGAAACGTTCACAAAGACTATTTTGTTCCAAGTGAGACTGGAGCTGAGAGCCAACAACTTTCTCTAGAATGTTTTAAATGAATGGTAGGTTAGAAATGGGGTGAAGGTTATTAAAATCATTTGGATCTGCACCTGTTTGTGTGTGTGTGTGTGTGTGTGTGTGTGTGTGTGTGTGTGTGTGTGTGTGTGTGTGTGTGTGTGTGTGTGTGTGTGTGTGTGTGTGTGTGTGTGTGTGTGTGTGTGTGTGTGTGTGTGTGCGCGCGTGTGTGTGTGTGTGTGTGTGTGTGTGTGTGTGTCTTGATATCAAAACTTCATTAAAAATATTTTTGGAGGTTTTAAATCCCAACAGACATGGAGACAGACATTACAGGGGGGTTAACTTAGGTTATCTGTTAAATATGCCCAAGTCCATACTTGTAAGAGCCCCATGTGAGCGCCTGTGTGCGTACATGCACTTGTGTATGTAATGCTTTGCTACAGGAGTTTCCAATAGTGAGTTGAAGGGGCCACAGACCTGACCCGAAGGACGTGTGGAAGCCAAAGTGGTGCCAAACCTCAGAGATCAAGAGGTCTCCCTGGAGCATGAAGACCCCAGGGAGACCACTGCCAGAGAAGCCCCAACCCCCCTCCCAAGAGGTGCAGCGGATTCCCCTGGGGCCGCAACTATCAGTCGTGCCAGAGCCTCGGGAGATAATGACGGCAGGCCCCCAGACCCACCCACAGCCGCCCACCCCAGAGCAGGACAGGCTCAGAATGTAGCAGCCTGGATCCAAATGCTGTCCAATCCCAGCAAGGACCTGGCAGAACCAGGGGACCACGAACCCACCAGGCAGCCATCAGGAGTGACCTGACAGATGCCACAAACTTCCAGCCCCACCTCGGGAGCTGCAAATACGCAGGCAGACCAAGAC